AAAAAACTAAGGGAAACTGAATTTTTCTTTCAATATAGAGTATTGCTAATTAGGGACGGACCATTTGATTTTTCATGGGGGGGGGGGCGCAAATCCGAAAAAAAATATCGAGCATGTCTCGAATGGAAGAAAAAAAAATCGAACATCACTAACACCAGCAAAAAAAAATATCGAGCACAAAAAATTCTAAATTAGCAATACTCTATATTGAAAGAAAAATTCAGTTTCCCTTAGTTTTTTTCTGTTGAGTGTTTCGGTTCTGCCTTGGTTAACAATACCGGAAGTATACATGCAAAATACAAACCGATACAAACCAGTTCTGACAACTTTGACTTCAATAATTCAATTATCCACAAATTACCTTAATGGTATCCCTAAAAACCCCAATCTTAACACTGAAATTCCCACACTTCTGTAAATACGACATCGATTAATGAGGGTGGGAAAGGGGGGGAGGGGTATGATTCACGTTTCACAACAAAAAAAAAGTTTCACAATTCACGTGCCATAAAAAAGCAATTTCACATTTCACGGATAACGAGACTCTAATAAAAATAATATAATAATAATAGCTTTAAGATTATGTTTAATGCATGGTACAGTACTACGCTTTAAGTTCTCTTCTCTGCCTGGCAGTTAAAAACTACTTACAAGTTTGAGTGATGAGTACGTCCTACGATCTCCGAAAGGCCTCCGAAGCTTCCACCCTTGTGCAATCGCGTGAGATCGATCATATAAATTATTATCGCGTATTATGTCCATTATCACTATTATAAAATAGATCGGAATAAACAAATCAAAATCACAGTTCACGAAACAGACATCTTTAATTCCCATTTCACGGAGCATTTTTATCGACAATCACGCCTCACGGCTGTAGAACAAATCACAGATCATGACAGTAAAATCAAGCATTTCACACGATCAAATATTGACCATTCACGCAGTAGCGTAGACAGGGGGGGGCTCAGCCCCCACCCCCAATAGGCTGAGGGACTGCCCTTGTAAAAAGATGAAATCCGGGTAGAAATTGGGGGGGGGGGGACAATGACTACCCATGTGACTACCAATCTCATCTGTTCACCAAATTGTCTATAAAAGTTCTAATCTTTCCTAAATCTAACTACAGAAAATAATGCCTATGGTGGTTATTGGTTAAAATGCGTTTTAAAACTTTGATTTAATTTGACTCGACCAAGTAAGCTTCGTTGAGTCAAATTAAGGATCCACATTATTGAGAAATCATTAAAAATCAGGTCTTTCCTGCCGTAAATAATCTTCAGAATTATGCAAAATCTCTCCCCAGAAACACGGGAAATCGCCATTGAGGGACTCCAGATTTCAAAATTTTCCCGGGGGAGAATGCCCCCGGACCCCCCTAAAAAGGCTTATGCCTATGGCTACGCCACTGCATTCACGGGTCACAAAAATACCCTTTCCCACCCGGCTCATTAATATCGCTCTCTGATTCTGAATAAAAATCGCAGTTTATAATACGTATTGGGAACACTGATACGATTGGGAACCGTGAGAATTTGTATATAGATGCCATTACGCCAATGCAAAATGGGTTACACACTTTAATACACTTGATCCTACATTTCGTAGACCATAGCCCCGTATAAAATGGGCCAAGTATAAAATGGGCTGTGATAGTTATATCATAGAATAGGAAGGTATACCACAAGTCCCACTCAAGCAAGTATTTGTCCGCGTTTTTACAAGCGATTCGTCATCAACCACGCCATCCTGGCTAGTACAACCGGCACTTTGTACCTATCAAGACATGATAAAAACTTCCGGCTGTACTAGCCAGGATGGCGTGAGCGAGTTAAAATTTCCGTGGGTTACACTTCTGCTATACTTTCCTATTTTGTGGTTATATGCTGTATATTCAAATACATTCTTCAGCCGGAATATAACCATACGTGGTTATTATTGTATTAACGCTATGGTAAAATTTAAAAAAATATCGTGCACGCGGCAAGATTCGATAAAAAAAAATCGTGCGGAGTCGGTGAGGTCCAAAAAAAAATCGAGCACTCTCAAAAATGCGCCCCCCCCATGAAAAATCAAATGGTCCGTCCCTTACCTTGTTGTTATATATTTTTGCGTTGGGATTTCCGTAAAATATATCGCGGGTAAGGCATCAGCACTAGCTCTGTGCATTTCGTATATTATGTTGCATTCATGCTGTTTTCATCCAGAAATCAACACCACCGTTAATGGTATTTTACTACGGGGAGAAAAAACCCAGCACAATTCTCTATGACCTCGCATATATTTCGGCAAGCGGCTGAAACTCTAGCTGGAATTTACCATGTACTAAGTCTATGAATTGTGTCTCCGAAATAACGAATTATGTTAGGGCAATGAAACAGTCCGCATTTTATCCTTTTTGTCCGCATTCGCATTTTAACCCTTTCGTCCGTCCGTCCGTCCGTCCGTCCGCACGTCCGTCCGTCCGTCCGTCCGTCCGCATCCGCGTTTTATCCCAACCCCATTGGCATTGAATCAATGTACAGTAATACTTGTACCTCTAGAGGTACTTGTACTACAGTAGTCTAGGACCTGTATATGAGTTTGTATGCGTTTCATTTAGCACAGGTAATCTCAATTGTTTTAGGGTAAAATGACCATGGCGGTCAACATGGCATATGTGCCAAAAGCTGAATCCGGGACGAAAGTCCTGAAAATGACCCCGCCTTGAAACGGCAGTGTCGACATAGCTCTAACTTCAGAAAACAAAAAGCGATAGTCTTTCTGAAGTGCTTATAGTGTTTAGAAGGTTTGCTTTAGGGGTGGTCATTGGAAGAAAAATTTGTCTAAGTATAATATTTTACAAGAAAATGACTATGCACCACCCCAGGTAAATTGCTGATTATGCATAAAATAACTAATATGCCTGGCAGAAATTAAATATTCTTATTTCCTAAAAAAATTATCAT